ATAGCAAGCCATTTAGCAGAAGTCTGGCAGTGGTAGCACATGCCCTTGTAGCGATAACGCCCAGGATACCACCACTCATTCACCATGTCCTAGCGAGGGGCTATGGATCAAAAAACAGAAACAAAAGACAGTGGGTCATTCACCTCAGCAGAATGCCGAATGCCGAATGCCATTTGTTGAAAGAGGGAGGAAACCTTAAATACAGTCTTACAGCACAATGGGAGAACCCCAGAGGGCAGAAGTTTGCTACTGATGTTTATAGTCTTGCATCTAAGCTATTACACCCAATATGCAGGATACACAAATGAGAAACTTCCCTTAAGCATTCAAGAGGGTGGAAACTGGCAGGGAATTAGCATAGGGAGGGCATCTGGTCAAGGTTGGCAAGCAGGCAACAGCTTACTCAAAATGGGAGGGCCAGGGCCCTACAGGTCCCCCCTTTTCACTAAAAAATGAGCTTCTGACTTAGGTTGTGTGGGATGTCAGCAGGTCACCTTACCCATCATGGAGACGCCTGCCCAGGACACATAGGTGCTCTGCCTTAGGTTGGTAACTGCCGCCAGGCATTACCGTCTCTGAATACTCATTATCATACAGACTCAACCACGTGAGCTATAGAGTTAACTGCTGCCAAAGATCTCAAAGTGGCACTGGGCTTGCAATCTGTGTGTTTGACACAGAAAAGACCAACAGAGGTCCTAACCCACCCATAGCCAGTAGGCTAAAGGCAATTGAACCATTCCTTTCCTTCGAGCCTTATGCAAATTGGAGTCCTCATAAGATGGTATCCCAAAAGCAAATGGAACTTGAGTTTATAAATTTATAATTTTCAAAGCCAATCAAAATGTATATAACTACTGAATTAAATTTATCATGCCCAATAGAAAGAAAGATTAATTAACTGTGGTAGCTACTTTTGCTGCCAGGGTCTCCACTGTGCTAGCTGTAGTAAGCAATTATGAAATGGTAATCCCAGAAACAGTAGCAGCAGTGGCCACCTCTGCTATAACAGCAACAAGGCAGCAGGACTGTCAAGTTCTCTTCTGGAGTGTGTGGGCATCCACTGGCATGGACACAATTCCAGGAACATGAACCACCAAAGCCCATATTTCTTGATCCCAGCACGACTTAAGCTGGCAGCTCTGCAAAAGAACAACTAAGAACCATAAAGAAAAAACAGACAGCACACAAGGAGCAGAACTAATGGTCTCAATAATGGCTATATTCAGGCTCATAAATTTTAAGGTATCTTGAAAAGAGGCTAGATGATTTTCAGGAGGCCAATAAATGTTGCACAGAGCCACTCCTGAAAAGTAGATACTATACCAGCTTGAAGAGGGTTACAAAATGTGAAAAGGCTTAGCTGGCATGTTACTGTTAACAAATGGAGGTCAGTGACCTTCAGGGTTATCCTTAATCTCCAAGGTGTCTGGGTGACACGTTCTCAAACATACTTGAAAAAGCAACATTACCTTCTGGAGAATCCAACCGCATGGCTACAGTTCCTAGGCTTACGTTAATGCTTGCCAAGGCTGGCCATACTGGGCTCTCAGTCCCCATTGGCATCAGAAGGGGAGAGTTCTTCATGAAGGCCCAATAGGTCTCTGCCATGTTGGGCTTCAGCAGCAGCTACAGGGCACACACAGTGCTCAGGAATCCAAAGAGGAACCTCATTGTCTTGTGGAAAGACACAAACAGAATCCCAGGCCCATACCAACACCAGATTGGGTCCCCTCCAAGTGCCAGTAGAAAGATCCTTCTATCACACCAGAGGATGATTTGCAACAGGAGCCCTCCAGTGCTTATCTGCAGCAGATACTCCAGCAGAATCCACTGATAAAAAATTTAAAATATGTAAAACAAGGGAAAGAATAGAATGTGGAGAGGAGAGATGAGCCCCTAGCCCCCCCCTTTTTACTTTAGCAATATAAGTTTTTAAGGTATGATGGCAGCATTCTACTATAGCCTGCCCTTGAGGATTATAAGGAATACCAGTCTTATTAACAATAGAAAAATCTTGGCAGAATTTTGAAAATCCCATACTACTATAGGCAGGACCATTATCAGTCTTTATGCATTTTGGCACTCCCATGTAAGCAAAAGCATGAAGACAATGATTCTTTACATCTTTAACCTTTTCCCCTGAATGGGAAGAAGCAAAAATTAGAGATGAATATGTATCAATAGACACATGAACATACTGTAATTTTTCAAAGGAAGGTGCGTGTGTGACGTCCGTCCATTTGCCACACATGATTAGGTAAAAGTCCTTGGGGATTAACTCCCAAATGAGGAACAGGTAAAAATTCCACACAAATAGGACATGATTTAACTATCTGGATGGCTTGTTCCTGGGTTATGCCCGTATGATGACCAAGAGATCCAGCATTAAGATGATAACGTTGATGCAACTGAGTAGCCTTTTCAAAGGCAGAACAAACTAATGTGACAGCCATACAAGTAATGGCATCAGCCCTCTGATTACCTTCACTTAGAGGTCCAGGCAATTGAGTATGAGCTCTAATATGGCACACATAAAGGTTATGTGAGCGGGACCATATGAGTCCTTGCACTTGCAATAAATATTCATGAATGGGAGAAATGGATGGTATGCAGGCTGCTGTCTCCAAAGGCATAACTGCATGTGCCACATATTGGCTATCAGTATAAATGTTTAGAAGCTCATCAGAAAACATCTGTAAAGCAAGCAACAGTACCTGTACCTCCACCATCTGGGCAGAAGTGCCCTGGACTTTCATTCTCTTACCAGAAACTACCACAGCAAAACCACATGAAGTGCCATCAGTAAATACCACACAGGCCTAAGGAATAGGAGTCATCTGTACTATCAAACTGACCCTGCATGGAGCCTGTCAATATGGTCCAATCATTATCATTAGCTTGCAACCATGCTACTTGAGACTGGGTGTATGGGGTCACCACAATATCTGGCTCCTTACCAAAAGTTTGAGCACTGATCTTGATTCCCTTAAATATAATTTGAGCAACAGCCTGAGTATAAGGAGTAATGGTTTTTGCTGGAGAAGCTGGGGAATGTACCCATAGAATAGGACCTGTTTGCCAAAACACTCCAGTAGGTGAATGAGAAAAACAAAATATTCATAACCTAAATAATTATAGGGAAAAGATACCTGTACATTCTCTGGGGCTATTTGTAAATTAGCCAGGCTAAGAACCTCTTGTAATTTAGAAAAGGCATCCAAAACAAGTATTTTATCTTTAGCGTCCAATAAAATATCATCCATAAGTCAATCACAATTAAATGCCGATGTTTAGGAATTGCCACAGGGGCAGGCAAACCAGGCTGTGTTGCTCCCATGAGAAGCATGATTTTATTTACAGCTCTATGATCTTGTAATAGCCACCATTTTCCTGACTTCTTGTAGAGGCCAGTTGGGATCTCAGGATTCTTGTGAAATTATAGATATGTCCAGCACCAGAATCGAGTAATCTTTCAATCTCAATCCCATATAATTTTATTTTTAATTTAGGCTGCTTATCATTGATAACTGTTTATCAAAACACCTTTTCTCCTGTTCTTCCAAAGCCTCCAGTTCCATATATAGACGCCATCTTGCATTTAAAATATGAAAGCAATAATAATTGAGCAATTCTATCACCAGCTTCTATTTCCATGGTCCTTTTTACATATACCAATTATAAAAGCACTAAATACAATCTCTATAGGATTTGAAGAGGTAACTTTAGGAATACTCTTGAGTATTTTTATAAAATCTTAAAAATAGGATCCTTTTTTATAGATTCCCAAGTAACACATTAGCACAAATAGCCAATTATTAACAATGTGGACCAAACAATTTACCTGCATTTTATTTACTGGAAAAATAATTTTGTAACCTCTTTATCAGTAAGAGATTATTTTTTATGGGTTTATCTTAGCAACAACATTATTTAATAAGCTAACAATCCAATCCATTTCAGGTGTTATATTTCTATAGAATTTCCAAGAATTTCTAGAAAGCAACTTAAAGAGCAGAGCCAAATTTTCAGTAATGATCAATAGACAAGAGCATACCTAATATGTAGTTCAAAATTATGAATCCTGTTCCTTTAGTTTATCTACCATGAAAATCCAAACATTTATCTAAACATTTATTAAGACAATCAAAAGAAAAAAAAATCCTTTATACAATGAATGATTAATATCCCTGGAAATTCAAACAGCATTGACTTAGCGTTCCATGTCCTGACCGAAACCATTTTTCACCAGAAGTTGGGCCCTTTTAAATTTTTAGTGCCTGTCCCTCTCCCAACCTCTGCATGCTTGCCTGCCTGTGAGTCTGTTCCCCTCATTGGCCTACGCCTCCTGCCTGCGTGTACCTGCCTGCCTGCTGCTCTGGGCTGTCTCGCACACGCCTTCGCTGCCTTGCTGGACGCGTGCCCCACACACGAGCACTCACATTTAAACGTTCTCTTACTCCCATGAAGGGACTACCTCATAATGAGTTATTCCCACCATTAAGGAAAAAAACAGAAAAACATTTCCCATGAAGGGATCCTAAATATTGAAAAATGAACATTTAAACCAAAATTAAGCAAACAGACAACAAAAACTTCTATGACTCTTTGTAATTCAGATGCTGCCGCTCTGTGCTGGCAGGCAGAAAGAGTTCAGAGTTTCAGCTCTCCTGAAACTTCTATATCAGAAAGAGCCCCCTCTTCCTCCATTACCACTGGGAAGAGGCTTCTCTCTTTCCTTCATCCTTCCTCTACAGGGCCCTAAATATCTTTAGGCCTAGTTTCAAAATTTTTCCCCTTTTTACCGGGAAAATCCTTTTTTCTTGGTTAAATTTTTTCTCCCTTTTCTAACAGGAAATTTCCTTTCCTTCCCTCTTCTCTATTGGGAAGATTTCCTTTTTTATTTAAAATCTTTAGCTGTCTTGCCCTATCTTAACTTCAGTGCCCTCCTGCTTCCACAGTCCAATTAACTGACTGTGAGCTAGCTGCACCCATTTCAATTCACCCTTCTCTTCTCTTTTCTTTTTTCTTTAAATTGCTGGCCAGCCTTACCTTTCAGGTGTCCATCAGCAACGTCCCTTCTTTCTTGGATCTCGGTGGGACTTCCATTTGTAGCAATAACGCCTGTGCCACCACCACCCATTCTCCATGTCCTAGTGAGGGCCTGTGGATTGAAAAACAGACAAAAGACAGCAGGTCATTCGCCTCAGCAAAATGCCAAATGCCGTTTATTGAAAGAGGGAGGAAACCTTAAATACAGTCTTATAGCACAATGGGAGAACCCCAGAGGGCAGTTCGCTACTGATGTTTACAATCTTGCATCTAAGCTGTTAATGCCCAATATGCAGGACACAAAAGAGGAAAGCACATTCCCTTAAGCATTCAGGAGGGTGGAAACTGGCAGGGAATTAGCATAAGGAGGACATCTGGTCAAGGTTGGCAAGCAGGTAACAGCTTACTCAAAATGGGAGGGTCAGGGCCCTACATGCCCTTAATCCAACCACATGGCAGGCAGAGTCTCTGTGTGTTCAAGGACACAGCCAGCATGGAGACACACACCTTTAATCCCAGTACCAACCATAGAGACCTGGAGGTCTGTATAGACAGGCAGTGAAGAGAAAGACATATGGTTGGGTTTAGAGCCAATGAGAAGGCAGAACAGAAAGGCAATAAAAGGACAGGACACAGGAAGAAGGTCTCTTTCTCTGGGGCAGGATGACAGCGAGTGGTAAGATAAGGTAGTCTTAGTTCTTGGCTACTGCTCGACCTCTGGGCTTTTAACTCTTTATTTGGCTCTGTGTTTCTTATTTAATAAGACATTTAGAATTACATCTATAGGTGTGGATGGTTTCTTTGGCCCTACCCTTGGCAGCATATATATAGCTTGTTCCATTTCATTGTGGCTGGTGCTTCTGGTGATCATCACTTGGCACTGGTATTTTCAAAACTGCTAAGGTCCACCATTGCAGCTGGACTTTTTGGAACTCTAGCCCTGCCATATATTTGAAAACCTCAGCTGTTCCCTATGGTCCCTTCATATCTTTAAAACCATTCTTATGTAATAAGTAAATGGTAATGAGTAAATCTTAAATTACGAAGTTTAGCTGCCAGAGCAAGCACTGAGGCCCAGTTTCATTATTTATCAAACACCTTAGTCACCTATTTAACTTCTCTAGAAGCTTGCTGTTGCATACTTGGCAAAGACATAAGTAACTAGAGTTTTCCTGCCTTGCCCATAGTCAGGACAAATCTCTGTCTCCCACCAGTCCCACAGTCGCTCAGACCCAACCAAGTAAACACAGAGACTTATATTGCTTACAAACTGTATGGCCGTGGCAGGCTTCTTGCTAACTGTTCTTATAGCTTAAATTAATCCATTTCCATAAATCTATACCTTGCCACGTGGCTCATGGCTTACCAGCATCTTCACATGCTCCTTGTCATGGTGGTGGCTGGCAGTGACCCCTTCCGCCTTCCTGTTCTTTCTTTTCTCCTGTTAGTCCTGCCTATACTTCCTGCCTAGCCACTAGCCAATCAGTGTTTTATTTATTGACCAATCAGAGCAATTTGACATACAGACCATCCCACAACAACGTAAGTACTTAGGTGTAAATTTCTAAGTTAGCTTTTGTTAACCTGAATAGATCTCTATAACCTTAGTAAAAGATGGCTGCCAGCCATGTGGCTGCCCATCAGGTCACCAGCCAAGATGGAGGAAGGACACCTGGTTACTGTTTAAAACATGTTTTCCTAAATAATTACTTGCACACATATTCACAGTTGGATCCAAGTTACATACACATACAAACAGTTAAAGCTAGCTTACATTCATACATATAGTTAAACCCAAGTCACATATATGTCCACATACACACATACGTGTGTGTGTGTGTGTGTGTGTGTGTGTGTGTGTGTGTGTGTGTATCCTTTTTTTTAAATTTTTTGAGACAGGGATTCTCTGTATAGCTTTGCGCCTTTCCTTGAATTCACTTTGTAGACCAGGCTGGCCTCGAACTCCCAGAGATCCGCCTGCCTCTGCCTCCTGAGTGCTGGGATTAAGGGTGTGTGCCACCACCACCTGGCTCAGAATTAACTTTTAAATTCAGTATTTGCAGGTATAAGAAACCACAATGAACATAGTTCACATTTCCTTTGACCTTCTACAACCTTCCATAAGACCCCTTCTGACCTTCTATAACCACCCATGTACCCTCAGTCCAGACATCCATTTCAGACAAATTTATCTCTTTCTTTTTTTAACATAGAAACTCTTACCAAAATCTTTCTTGTGATTTCCCTCAGTAGTCTAGAATATACTGTAAAGCTACAATATTTTAAACAAGAACAGAAATACATGCATATACCATTACAAGAATAACTCTAAATTTGCATCAGCACTGTACCATAGACAAGAAACTGTTGGTTAGTCTTATAACATAGCTGTGATAGCTTAGCAACCATAGGCAGTGACATTCCATTCCGCTCTTAGAACCAAACCTTGATTAGGTTTTAGCCCCAGGGCAGGTCTTTGGAGCCCCACCCATCAGCCTGGGAGATGGAAGAGGACCATTCACAACATGGAGACAAAAGATTGTTATTAAACCCATATTCTCAAGTATATGAAAGCAGCTGAGCCCTCCCACCTGTAGGCTACTCCTCTGCTGTGACCCTGGAGGGGCAGTTCTCCACCAGCCCCACCCAGCTCAGGCAAGCTGATCTCCTTGAGGCCCCTGCTGGCTCCTGCCTGTGCTGTACCACAAAGCCTCTACCCTGAGGATTCCTGCACAGGAGCTAGCCTCGAACCTACTGAGCGTCCAGACCACCGAGTTCTCACAGCTGTTGCCCATGCCACGCTGCACCATAACAATGAGCCACTGCCTGGGCCGGCCTGCTGCCAGCCAGAGAGAAAGGAGGCAGTGGGCAGGGGCATCTTAGTCTGCCCCAGCTCAACCAGAGGGACCGTCTGTCCCTTATGCTGGCCATCCAGCCCCAAAGGCTGTCCGTGAGCAGCTTCCATTAGGAGTCATAACACACATACAAGCCCAGGCAGAAAACACACATACATGTGGCCACATTTACACGTTCATATAGGTAGGACATTCCAACAGAAAGGCAAACACAACTTTTTAGAACACACAAGACAACAAAACAGCTCTCCTGGCACCTGGAGACAAAACCAAAACCAAAAAGACGCCAGCCTCACGCCAGTCCCATGGGAGTGACCCATGTCATCTATACAAATCAAATACCTGCAGGTACTTACAAATTTTGGGCACTTACAAAAGGATATCCAAATGGCCCCTAAAGGCCCACTTACAAAAGGATATTCCAAAAGCCCATTTACAAAAGGATATCCAAATGAAACCAAACAAAAGTAAACACAGAAAACACAAAAGTAGACACAGGTAAGCATAGACACACAGAAAACATACATACTGGCTGGCTCTTCAGGCTCTATGGACTGGTGGTCCCGGTGGGCTTGGGGGATCCTGGACAAGCCCCCAAATGTTATGCCCAGATTGTGGGGACCCCCAAAGGATCACCATGGAGACCGATCCCACATGTAAAAGCAAAGAGCCTTTATTTCAAGCTCTGAGCTTGGTCTCTCTGTCTGCCCTACACAGCGGTGAGAGCCCAGGCAGGGTGGGATTTTTATCATAGCAGAGGTTGGGGTGAGGGGATTGCCAGAGTTTAGGACCCTAACTGGCTGACAATTGTCTAGGGTTATCTATAAAACAAAAAATAGGTGTGTGCTAGACTCAAGGACATCAGGCCACCTATCTAATGGTTGGAATGTTTGGGATGTTAGGTACTTCCTCATTCCTGGGTGGTATCAGTTTAAGGCTTTTCCTGGATCTGGGTGTTGCCTGCCAGTAAGCCTGTCACAGAAGTTGTGTCTAGGCCCCTAAGCCTGTCATGGCTGCTGTGTGGTCAAGCTGTTTTGGGGCCCTTTACAGGTACATGCTCCATCTCCCCACCCAGAGCCCCCACTGTCCTTCCAGATCACATTCTGAGAACTTCGTCCCCACACGGCACCAGCCTCCTCTTGGCATGTCAGTCCTTCTGAGGGTAGACTGCACCCTGCCTGGCATGTACTCAAAGCCAGGGTGGCTGAGGGCAGCCATACAACCGGAGCAGCAAAGTGCCTGCAGGTTCAGGAGAGCCCTGTGATGTGACCAAAGCCATGGAGGGGAAGAGACACTAAACACAGGCTGGGGCAGACTTCCCACATGCCCACCATTCTGATACCAACATGTAAGGAATTGGGGCGTTTGCTATTTTATTTCTTCTTTCTTTCCTTCTTTCCTTCTTTCCTTCTTTTCTTTCTTTCTTTCTTTCTTTCTTTCTTTCTTTCTTTCTTTCTTTCTTTCTTTCTTTCTTTCTTTCTTTCTTTCTTTCCTTCCATCCTTCCTCCTTCTTCCTTCCTTCCTTCCTTCCTTCCTTCCTTCCTTCCTTCCTTCCTTCCTTCCTTCCTTCCTTTCTTTTTGTTTTTTTGAAAGACAGGGTTTCTCTTGTGTAGTTTTGGTGCCTGTCCTGGATCTCACTCTGTAGACTAGGCTGGCCTCGAACTCACAGAGAGATCTGTCCGCCTCTGCCTCCCAAGTGCTGGGATTAAAGGCGTGTGCCACCACTGCCTCCCAGCTACTATTTTATTCCTTAAAAAGATCTTCCTTTCTTCCTTTTTTCCCCTTTTGAGTTCTAGATCTTAAAAATAAAGGAGTAAGTGCAGAGGGGTAGAGAGGTGAGCAGAGATGTGAGATGTGGAAACCAATGAGCTTGACTGCTGGGTTCTACATAGATAGAGTCTCCCTGACTCCTAGACACCGGCCTCACTGCTGAGTTCTCAGATCCCCAGTGCCAGGGCAGTCTGAGCGGTGCTCCACAATGGGGTCTCAGATGGTCACACCACAGAGAACTCCTACACAGATCCCAAATAGTTCTCGGTACCTCGGGAATTGCCGCACAAGGCTTTGTTATGCCCAGATTGTGACCCCCCCAAAGAGACCACCAAAGACCTTGGATGTCCAGAATGCAACAGCAAGGTTTATTCTGCAGATACAAGTCTAGACAGGGACTCATTCCTACACCCAATACAGTGAGGCAGGGAGGAGTGCCTCTTTCTTGGGGAAATTAGCTTTTAGAGGCAAAACCCATAAAATTTCT